GATGATATTGAATTAGACTTAGAGACTAAGTTAGTTTAGCTAATCTTAGTTAGACTTAATCCCCATCTGCCATCTGGCATCTGGCATCTCTCTGTCCCGAGTCCGAGTCTCTCTCTGTCTCTCTAACTATTAAAGCCCAGTCTTTGGATGGGTTTTATCCCCTGTTTAAGTCTGATCTTTTATAAAATAAAGTAAGATACCGGTACCTCGTATTTTGGATTTTCTAAGTTTTAAGTATTAATATGGCGCTCTTTCCCGCCTTGTTGACCTTGGACCTTGTCCAAAAGAGCGCAGGAAAGTAGTTCGAGAGACAGCGTAACCCTAGTAACTCACAATGCGATTCTTGAAGACGATTTCCGTTCATGAAATGAAATGATTGGGGTTTAATGTCCTACTGTTCGGCCCCGACTGGGCTAATGAAGACGGGCATACGCCATACAGTGTGCTATGAAGGAAAATATTGCCCGGGCAGTGGAAATATGGCCTAGGCCTACTCTTATATCGAATTCCAACTGCCAAGGGATCTTTAACGTGCATGCCAATGTATACACGAACGACTAGACAACTGTTCTTGTCAGGCCTTCCGTCTTGCACCACTGACAATTAAGGGGAAACCATGTCGAATAAACCCGATGAAATTCTTGGCCAATGCAGGGAACGAAGATTCCCGTTCATGGAGAAATGAAATGGGATTTAACAATAACATCATATAGACCCAATGCAGCATGCAGTATGCTATTGGGGTGAGGGGGGGGGGCGGTTTTCGGCGGTACTGGGTACGGCGTACTCTTATTTCGATTCAAAACTGAAGGATTCCTCTACGTGGACGCGGGACCTCCTTTCTGTCCCATCTGGACGACTATATAGCTTTTCCTTGAGGCACTCCGCCCTGTCCTACTGACAAGGGTAAACTTTGCCTAAAAATCACGACGGATTCACACCGGGAGCAAACTCCAGACCCCCCTCCAGCCTAATAATAAGCAGTACGGTATTTGTGTTGCATATAATCTTTTAGTGTGACCTGTATATTCCAGTTCAATTACCGAATGCTATTAAAACAATTTATTAATTACTGCACTCCATAGTCTTTTACGCTATAGACTAATCTACACCCAGGTTCAACGCTACGGGTTCGATCCCCCGGTAACATACAGTGGCGAGGATCGACGGGCGGTAGGCTATATATTTTAGGCCAAAGTTTTTTGAAAGATTTGTTCTAACTTGGAAGATTGTTCGGGTCGTCATAAGAAGGCAGTCTATACAAATTCTATCTTTTATTCCCATTTATCGGAGATCGAGAAAATAATGATTTATAAATAAGCTAATAGCGGATAGGTCTACTAACTATTACAGCCTTTGTTGGTTGCTAATAGTAGATAACAAAGGCTGCCCTTGTTAGTTGTTACTGTAGCGGCTAACAATTTACCCCCAGAGGCGCAGAGGCACCCTTAGCGCTGCTACGAGCATCTAAAAATGACTAACAACTTTCTACTATTAGCAGGCTAATAATAGGCGGATCGGGTGATTCAGCCATCCAACCCCCCTTCACCGAACATAACTGATTAGAAATTACAGTAAAAACAGAAACGATTGAATGTAAATCAGTTTATATACATTCATATTACATTATTATATGCGTTGCGACCTATTTGTGTCAATTTCCAGATCCCAAATATTAGTGATTTAGCTCCTTTAAAGTTAATCCAAGGGAGAATTGTTCTCTGTTGGGTCATTGGCTGATTTTTAAATTTTTAAATTCAATGTACATGTATAACATCTTCATAGAAGTTAGTATTAACAAGAAACTGAAGACAGTGGGAGAACTGTGCAGTCTGTCTACAAAACTTGATTGTAGAATTTACTACAGAAAACAGCATAAAAAATCTCTAGAATATTGAATAGAATAAAATTATAGGATTTGCACTACAGGAACTGTAGAATATTTGGAGCTGTTATTTCCTACAGGCCCCCAAACTTCTGTAGAATACAATAGAATCCCCCCCCCCCCCACATACACACACCCCGAACACCCCACCCTCAACTCTCTAGCATAGAATATGTGAGGGCAAGGTTGTAATGGCGTATGTCCGTCTTCATTAGCCCAGTCGGAGCAGAACAGTAGGACGTTAAACACCATTTCATTTCCTACTACTTCGGGATCAAATCGAGAGCTTGTTTAAGGGGACGTAATTCTCAACTAGCTTAGGACTGTCGCCATATCGAATTAAATACAGATCAATGAATATTTCGTTACATTTCAGAAATAAAATAAAATGGGGCTTAACGTACTAATGGTTACGAAATAAGCAAACTGGGTGCAGAGATTAGCAAGAACATATCGATTCTGACGATGCAAAAAAAGTGCATTTGGTATAATATGCCAGATACGATATTTGGATACCACGTCTGGTGATAAAAGTGTTTCGCTGTTTGACTACGTTGAATTGCTAATTTAAATACATCATGTCGTCAATTCTTGTGAGATTAGGGGTAACGTAGTCCATTACAGATTGTCTCCCTTTGCGGCACTTAAAAAACGAAGAGTAACGTACAAGCCTACGGCATATGCTAATGAATCATTTTAATGACAATTGGAACAAGCCGACTAGAAAACAGGCATCACATAAACTGACTCATTTCCCTAAATATTTATATACTAACTCATCTCATGTACCTCCACAGGGTATGTCGGCATGAGAATTGGTTAAATATATTCCACTTCGTTTCTGCGGTTCATACGTAATATTTTTGAAGAAAATAATGACATGAAAATGAAACGCAATGGTGATTAACCAATCTGATTAAAATACCGATCTATATTTCGTTTCGTTTTTTTAATACTTTCGATAGCCTACACTAATGTAGTAAACATAAGTAAAACGAAATTTTGAACTATATAAAACGAAATGGAATAGGATCTGTGTTTTAATCTCAGATTGGGGTTTAAAGGTCTACTGATTGGGCGCAATGAAGACGGGCACACGCCATGCAGCGTACTTTGGGTGTCGTTACGACTCACTCCTATATTGAAATCCTACTGCCACGGGTTCTTTTATATGCACGCCTATGTGTTTACTGGACCTGAATATAAAGACGCAAATAACGGAAATCTGTAGTGAGCAATAACAGCTACAAAAAAAAAAAAAAAAAAAATTTTAAACTACTAACATTTCCGTTAAAGTTGCAATTTCATATTTTAAAGTTATATTTTTTGATTTTTTTAAAATAAAGCCTTAAAATAGATGGTATCTATAAAAAGTCCTACCTTGTTAAAGAATAATCCTATTAATCCTATAATTCACTATTGCCAGTTGAGAAATTGGCAAAAATATCATTTTTCTCTTCAAATTCAAACGTTTGAGGATAGCTACTCCATGGTGGAGAATAGAAAACAAGGGGGGTAATTGGGACGTAATTGTGTTATTATTTCCGGTGTAAATGAGTTTTAAGTGTGAGAATGACACCTATGATCGTATAATAGTGAGTTGGCAACCTATTGTGCAAAAGACATAGAAATAATTATGTTTTGACTTTCTTAGAAAATATGAAATTGTAACTTTAAAGATGGAGACGTGACAAATATCAGTCTAGGTTGATTACGTTTGAGTTTTTATGATAAACGGGATATTTCCAGTCTCCAATAACAAGGAATCGAGACCATAGGCTCATCTAACGTTAAAGATATAATAAACAGGATATTTCCAGTCTCAAATAACAAGGAATCGAGACCATAGGCTCATCTAACGTTGAAGATATAATAAACAGGATATTTCCAGTCTCCAATAACAAGGAATCGAGACCATAGGCTCATCTAACTTAAGACCCAATCTGTTTCACATAGGTATTGCGAAACTTTGTATAAGATGACTGACCTTTATAAGTTCAAATGTCTTCTAAATGTGACGTCACGGCTTCGATCAGTGGCTCGATGTGCGTGTAGTGTTTTCGTTTTACGAACTACAGTAAACGTGTCCGGGCAAAATGGTGCCTTTTATTCATTTTATAAGTTGAACATATGACGTCAGATCACCGGGCGTCAATCATCGGCTCCATGGCGCGTCCTTTTACTCATTTTATGTACCCATTTACACTCAATATCATAGGCGTACGAGCTGTGGGGGGCTGGGGGGCGGCGCCCCCCCCCCCCCATTTTGGCCACCAAATGCTAAGAAAATTTGGGCACACAATTGTACTTTGTAAAAGTTGTATAAAATAATATTGCGTTCTTGAATGTGTCCAATTTAACAGCGAATTTATTATTATTATGTAACATAATTATTATTATTATGTAACCACTACCGCCCCCCAGTTAAAAATTTCCCCGTACGCCTATGCTCAATATTGTTCGTCTACAAACACTTCAAACACCTTTTTCTAATACTTCAAAAATATATTTTAGAATTTTATTTGTAGAGCTTATTAACCCGCACCGATGTCATTCCCTCTCACTGATTGTAGCGGCTTAGTGAATATTCACTGCTGATCAGTTTGCTTATCTAGCTACACCCAGCGTAAAGTATTTACAAAATCAGATGTCACGTCAGAGAGAAATGAGGTTTAACGTCCACTTGACACAAACTATGTCATTTAGGAACAAACATGGTTCGATTTTATTTCAATAATTCGCTCGCGCGTAGGGGTCTTTAGCAGTGGGAGGAAACCGGAGGACCCGGAGAACACCCACGAGGTTGGGCAGGCGACCCCACTCCTTGTCAAGTACAACAGGGGAATGGAAACCACGCCAGTTGACTCAATGACAGACCGTATGATACAGCGCGCACATGCTAACCATTCGCCCCCCCCCCCTTCAATGTTAATACTAATGAATTAACCATATAAATATATATATTTATTAATTTATTTAAAAAATAAAACAGTAACAAATACAAAAGAACAATAAATTATGTCTGGGTTGATTTGATACTGTGATACAGGACTCCATTTACTACTTATAGTCAGGGCTACCGACATTTCATATTAAAACAAACAAAATTAAGAGCTTAATTACAAGAATATCTTTTTGCAAAACACGCGTAACTACACAGAACTTGCTGAAGCTGTACGAAACGGAGTACTCGTTCAAAATGAAAAAATTCATTCTGATTAAAATACAGATCTATATTTTGTTTCGTTTTTTTTTATACTACAAGAAGATATGACCAGTTGTAATGGCATGTCGTGTCAGAGGTCATACGAGTGACTTTTGACCCTTTGACGTCAGACATTGATTAATCAATCAGCGTTGACGTTTCTAGGGGTTTCATTTGCTAATTCCTCACATCAACTAGAATGTCTGTTATATAACAACTCTTCCAGATCCCAGTGTAGTAAAGACAAGTAAAACGAAATTTTGAACTATGAAAAACGAAACGAAATAGGATCTGTGTTTTAATCAGATTGAACAGAAATTATGATTGACATTGAAAATAGTTTTATAACAGAAAGTATAAATTGAGCTGTTGCTGCCATATTGGTGGGATTTAGTTTGACATGAATTTAGCAAATATTGTCATCACTACTAACAAGGTAGTCGACATCAGTAATGCGGTACCTGTAATAATAAAAACAGGTTAAATAGATACAAGGTAGATACATAGTTTGACTATAAAAAAATCTTCATGGTCCGCCATCGCTAAATCATCCAGCATATGAATGCCCCGAAAGGCATCTGTTTCTTCAAGGAGAGGACGGCGAGAGGTACACATATACTCTTAAACACGTAGAAGAGCGGGGAGAGGTACACATACACTCTTAAACACGTGGCAGAGAGAGAGAGAGGGGGGGAGAGGGGCGGGAGAGGTCAACATACACCCTAAACAGAGAGAGAGAGAGAAAGAGAGAGAGAGAGAGAGAGAGAGAGAGAGAGAGCAACGGTACCTAACACCTATTCGCCCCACCCCTCCAAAGGTTCACGCGATCTGTAACCCCTATTCACAGTCCCTTCTAAAATTCATGTGATCTCGTATTTACCACATCACGGCATCTCGACCTCCTATTCAATACGGGGGGTTGGGCGGCCGAATGGTTAGCACGTGCGTGCTGTATCATACGGCCTGTCAATGAGTCAACTGGCGTGGTTTCGAATCCCCGGTTGTACGTGAAAAGGAGTAGGGTCGCCTGTCCAACCTCGTGGGTTTTCTCCGGGTCCTCCGGTTTCCTCCCACTGCTAAAGACCCCTACGCGCATGCGAATTATTGAAATAAAATTAAACCATATGTTAGTCACGAAATGACCTAGTATGTGCCGAGTGGACGTTAAACCCCATTTCTCTCTCTCTCTGCAGTTTGTACCGCGAAGTTTTATATACAATTGGCAATGTTATCCCTCCATACGTGACTAACTAGAAACCTGTTTGCGTCACAAAGGTGAAGTATCGCATTCGTTGTGGCATGTACAGCTTTGAATAGCGAAAATATTGTCTACCTGGGGCAGTCTAGGCTATAATTTCTTTCTTTCATATCGGTTTTATTTAACCCGAAGACACAACAAACATTAACAATTTTCATGCATATGAAAGGGAGTGACAGGCAAGGAAATAGATTTTGATAACAGTAAAATGTGTGGATTATCTAGCCTAGTAAATACGGTAAGGATTGTCATATTATTCTATAACTACATGCAAATACAAGCAAAAATCAATGAATACAGCCATTCAATACAGTGGACGTTAAATCCCATTTCTCGCTCTCTCTCTCTCTCTCTCTCTCTCTCTCTCTCTCCCTATTCAATATCCGCGTCAAACACTAGTCATGCACGGGAAATACAACCTTTAAGTACTGGGCCTTGGAGCTGTCCGGGACAAGAGATATAAGCCCATGGGACGTATATATTCACGAACACTTTAACAATGCAGCGTATTCATAAATTGGCTGTGGATTAAAATCCGAGTAGAATTTTCAGTTTTTAGCCAATGAAAAGACGACATTCTTAAAATATTTGAGTTCAAGATTTCATGAATAAGGTCCTACATAATGTAAAAAAAGAAAAAAGAAAATGAAATGGGGTTTAACGTCCTACTGTTCTGCTACGAACTGGGCTAATGAAGACGGGCATACGCCATACAGAGTGCTATGAAGGAAATTTTGCCCGGACAGCGGCACTACGGCCTATTCTTATATCGAATTCCAACTGTCAAGGGATCTTTTACGTGCACGCCAATGTGTACATGGGACCTCGGTTTTTGTCCCATCCGAACGACTAGACGGGATCGAACACACGACATCCAAGCTAGCGAGCCAGCGCCTTACCCAATTAGCCACCGTGATCCCTGAGTTTTAGAGGGGTTAAACTTACCTGAACATTGCGTATAATCAAAAGCTGTCACCTGTGCTTGATAAACTGTTCCCGATTTACAGTTGTTCTCGTGTAAACAGTTGAAATACGGCCTCTTTTCACTGAAAACACAAATAAAATGAAAACGGGTTGAACGTCCCAATGTTCTTGCCACGACTGGCCTAATGAAGACAAATGAAATGAAATGAAAGGCGGTTAAGCGTCCTACTGTTCTGCATCGACTGGCCTAATTAAGACAAATGAAATGAAATGGGGTTAAGCGTCCTACTGTTCTGCTCCGAATGGGCTAATGAAGGCGAGCATACGCCATACAGTGTGCTATGAAGGCAATTTTGCCTGGACAGCGGCACTACGGCCTACTCTTATATCGAATTCCAACTGTCAAGGGTTCTTACGTCCTGTCTTACTGACAAGGGGAAACCACGCTGGAAAATACCTGAGAACTTTCCTTTCTCTATCAACACCGGGCTCGAACAGGGGACCTCCGGGTTAGCGAGCCGACGTCTTCCTCACTGAGCCACCGTGCCCCCCCCCCCCCCACTGAAAACTGTAAAATAAATACAATACATTGACTGCAACAGTCGAGGTTTAACTTAACGGCTACTTCCCTTTGTCAGTGTTTCTCGCCTTTATTATCCCAGTCGAAGCAGAAAGTAGGACGTTAAACACTATTTCGCGTTGTATCATAAGGACTGTCATTGAGTCAACTGGCGTGGTTTCGATTCCCCATTTGTACGTGACAAGGAGTACGGTCACCTGTCCAACCTCGTGGGTTTTCTCCGGGTCCTCCGGTTTCCTCCCACTGCTAAAGACCCCTAAGCGGAAGCGAATAATTGAAATAAAATTAAACCATATGTGAGTCCTGAAATGAACTAGTTTGTGTCGAGTGGACGTTAAACCCCATTTTTCTCCCTACTAAGATATGGTTTAATTGTATTTTAATAATTCGCTTGCGCGTAGGGGTCTTTAGCTGTGGGAGGAAACCGGAGGACCCGGAGAAAACACACGAGTTTGGACAGGCGATCCACGCCTGTTGACTCAATGAGAGGCCTTATGATACAGCGCGCACGTGCTAACCATTCGGCCACCCACCCCCTACCACACCCAGTCACTGCAGCATTCCTTCATATTGATCTTGTTCTTAGTGTTTAACGTTCGCTTCCACCGATGGTGATGTCGCAGACAAGTTGTCTTTTTTTATTATTATTTTCATTATCATAGCGAGCGCGCCGGGGTCTTTCCCGCCCGTGGGAGGAAACCGGAGTACCCGGAGTAAACCCACGAGGTTGAGAAGGCGCCCCTATCTCGGAGCCACACACTCTCACACCAGGGATCAAAACCACAACCGCAAGCCAGAAGTGGCCGGCCAGCTAGAGGTCAAAGCGTGATACTCTAGACCACAAGGCCATTCCACCCCCCCCCCCCATACCAGGAGGGACTATATGTACATACCTGCATGTACTCTGGGCAGTGATACCCTGAAGTTTACTAGTACAAACAGCTGGAAGAATAGCACAGGCAATATCATCGAACAGCAAGGCTTCAGTTGTTATTGATAGACCTTAAAAAGATAAAATCACAATTAGACATCAGTTTAAGCGTGAATCAGCATCCATGGTGTTTGAGTGGTAGGCCTACCATTGCACACAGTGTTAGGCACGTTTTCCACGTATGGTTAGTACGTGCGCGCTGTATCATAAGGTCTGTCATTGAGTCAACTGGCGTGGTTTCGATTCTCCGGTTGTACGTGACAAGGAGTAGGGTCGCCTGTCCAACCTCGTGGGTTTTCTCAGGGTTCTCCGGTTTCCGCTCACTGCTAAAGACCCCTACGAGCAAGCGAATTATTGAAATAGAATTGAACCATGTGTTAGTCCCGAAATGACCTAGTTTGTGTCGAGTGGACGTTAGACACCCCCTCTCCCTCTCTCTCTCTCTTCGAAGGAATAAACTCTAAAGGCCAAGAGTTCTCTACGGATTTATTTAAAAATATTGCGATCGCAATTTGAGGAGTTATCCCCCTGTTCTAGGGACAAATATATGAAATCAGGGCATATCTGGTCTCTAGACGAGAGGAACAATATTGGTCGTAAATCTGACAGATAACTTCCCAAGTCATATTGTAAATTATAAAGCTACAATTGTTCGTTAAGGAAGAAACCTAGCGATCGTAAATTTTGACCGATAACGCCCCCAGTCATATTTTGACCTATATTTCCTCTGATCTCGATAAAAGGCAAACTTTCTGTGATAGTTCATTTGCGAATAAGAAGGAATCCTATGAGAAATACAGAAATTTTCAAGCGAAAATCCCCCGTTAATGTGGGAACCACGCTGGAAAACCCCCCAATCAACTTTGCCGGCAAACACCGCGATTGAACACAAGATCTCTAAGTTAGCAAGTCAGCGTCTTACTCACCGAACCACCGTGGCCACGCATGAAAGCGATACATATTTGGAGTTAAGTTATAGAATTCTATGAACTCGATTGAAATGGGTATTTTTATTTTCTGATCGTAATTTTGGAAAGAAAACGTTTGCGGGATTACCTTTTCGTTGACTTTTTAAGGCATTGATTTAGTTGTAAATGATTTTAGAGCTCGTGTGAACGATTATGATTTTATTTAAAGGAGTTAAATCGCTAATATTTGGGACCTAGAAATTGACAGATATGGGTCGCAAAGCATATAATAATGTAATATGAAATGAAATGGGGTTTTACGTCCTACTGTTATGCTCCTATACTGGGCTAATGAAGACGGGCATAAGCCATACAGTGTGCTATGAGGGATATTTTACGTGCATTCCAATGTATACACAGGACCTCGGTTTTACGTATCATCCGAAGGACTAGACAGCTGTCCTTGTCAGGCCCTTCGTTCTGCACCACTGACAAGAGGAAACCACTTCGGAAAACCCCGCTGAACTTTTTCCGCCAATGCAGGGATCGAACACCCGATCTCCAGGCTAGCGAGCCAGCGTCTTAACCACCTAGCCACCGTGGCTCCCTAAATGTAATATGAATGTACATAAACTGATTTACATCCAATCGTTTCCATTTTTTACTCTAATTTCAATTCAGTTATGTTTGGCGAAATACGTCAGAAGTCTCAATCGAATGGCAGTCTCTAGCGTCTGGTTATTCCAGTCTACACCGATAGTATTTTTTGCGCATGCTCTCCAGATAAGAATATGGTGTCAGCGTTTGACATGACTTGTGGAATATGTCTAGCCCCTTTCTTCGTGTCTCTTGTTACAAATGGCGCTGAAACACATTATGGTACACGATTCGTGTACCAATGGTAAAATGATTATTTTGTCTTAAATATTGGATATCAGAAACCCATATTTTCCATGTAAGACCACAACATCAATGTTGATTTAAATTGACAAATAATTCGTGTTTTCAATGTCGAAGACTTTGGTTGATATTCAGTGACAGACTTATTAGCTACTTTAATTATTTACAACTAAATCAAATAGTACCTATCTGTTGATAAATGTAACTCGATCTTTGTTGATTTTCACATCTAATATTTTAATAATTTAGGTCATTGTTTTAAAAAATTAATTGGGTCATTTTTACATTTTTAAATTATTTGTGTCATATTTTTTAAAAATAATTATTTGGGTCATTTTTTAAAAATTATTATAATAATTTGAACCATATTTCACGGTGCTATATAATTTTCTTGAACAAGCCCAATCCCAGTCAGAATGATTTCTTTTGTTGTAAAAAAAAAAACCCTCCAAAATCTGGTATTCTACACGTAAGTAAGTGCCCATATTAATTTAAATATATTAACATTGAAATATATTTTATAATATGAAATGAAATAGAAGATTCCCTACCTAGTAAAACTGTAAGTGCTAGAAAAGCCTTCATTTTGTTGAATTTCGTGGTGAGTGTTGGTGTATCGAGGTAAACGGTTGATATATAGATGACCCTTATTTCGGCCAATATTTAAACACTCATCAACCAATCAACAGGTTTGTTAAAGGTGACTAGTGACAACGGGTCAAAATATGTCAATGTAATTTCACTTTCTTTTTAGGTAGATATAAACTAAAAGTACTTTTAAAATATAGGTTGACACGGGTCAATAAGAAGTTATTAATAGGGGAGGGGGGAAGGGGTTGACTAATGTAAGTGTATATTTATTTAAGGTTCATGTCGGGGGCATTGCGCAATAATGAAATGAAGTGTCTAGAGTTATAATGGTCAAGCTTTAAAGATACATTTCTGTAAGGTTTACTTCCATTCATTCTGGTTAAAACCCAGATCCTATTTCGTTTCGTTTTTTTATAGTTCAAAATTTTGTTTTATTTACCTGTACAACACTAGGGTCTGGAAGAGTTGTTAAAAAACCTACGTTCTGGATGGCGTGAGGGATTAGCCAATGAAACCATCTGTTACGGCGACTTCTTGGCGTGCCATACACGGAACAGTGGGTAAACCACTAGAAACATCAACGCTTTTTGATTAATCAATGTCTGACGTCATAGTGTCAAAAACCGTTCGTCTGACCTCTGACGCGATGTTTTACTGCAACCGGTCAGATCTTCATGTATTAAAGTCCATCGACAGTATAAAGAAACGAAACGAAATATAGATCTTATTTTAATTAGATTGACTTCCATTAAAATTCAATCGCTGTAAGTTTGTGACGTCATAATTAAAATAAACCATTGTAACTTTGTGACGTCATGATTAAAAGTTTTTGACGTCATAATTAAAAGTTTTTGACATCATATTTAAAATACAACTGATTAAGGTTTTGACGTCATAATTACAATACAACTGATTAAGGTTTTGACGTCATAATTACAATACAACTGATTAAGGTTTTGACGTCATAATTACAATACAACTGCCGTGGACATTTAAATTACATTGTATGCAAAATTAGAGGGGCGTCTGACATAATGACGTTTCTACTGACGTGTCATGTGAATAAATATCTAAATAATAATTTGTAGTACATTTGAAGCCAATCCATCTTTAATGTGATATGTCTCGAATTTAATTAATATATTTTATATCTTGAAGGGAAAGTGATAATGCCAGAATTGCTTTAAATCCACTTCTACGCTGGTAATATTACGACTACAGCCGCTTTAAATCGGCTTCCACTTTACTCGACTACAGTAGTATCGCAGACTACAGCCGCTTTAAATCGGCTTCCACAGTAGTGGTATCACAAGGTGCTTTCACACTAGGAATTTAACCTGAATTAAATTCAGAATAAAGTCTTATTCCGGATTTAGGCATTACACTCAATTCGCTAAAAACCGAACTGAATCTGAAATAACGAATCCGTATATTTTTCCAAATTCAACCTGGGACAACTATTCCCAAAACCAGTTGTCCCGTGTACACATTGGCGTGCACGTAAAAGATCCCTTGGCAGTTGGAATTCGATATAAGAAAAAAACGCTGTCCTGGCAAAATTTCCCTCATAGCACACTGTATGGCGTATACCTGTATTCATTAGTCCAGTCGGAGTAGAACATTAGGACCTTAAACCCCATTTCAGTGATATCGCAAATAAGGACCGCATTAAATCGTCATATATCAATGATACCCCTTCCACTTTGACAAATCCTCAACATAGCAACGGGTATCGTTCACAACGTATGCTACTATGGCAACATATTACTTATACTGGATCTGTAAAATATTTTCAAAATACTTAAAGGAGCTAAACCACTAACTCAATATTTTTCATAAAATATAAAATCAAAAACACGAATTAGAATTTAATATTGGTCCAATCCAATCAATATTGATGATGATATCTTGTCGTGAAAATATGGTATTCTAATATCCAATATTTAAGACACAATCAATACTCTATGGTCTCGGTGCCATTTGTAATGAAGAAAGAAAAACATAAACTGGCTAATTCAAAGACGACAAAAATAAAAAAGTAAATGTGTAGAATAGACCCAGCAGAAGTAAACAACAGTCGTTCAAATTGGACTGTTTACGTATTTCACCAAGCATAATTGATTAGAAATTACAATACATTTTTAAAAAATCAAATGTAGTATCAAATGTTCCCTGTATCGCAATGGGGCGGATTTAGATTTAAGAAATAGAATGAAATGCCTTTTAACGTCCATCTCTTCTACTCTCACATGGCTAATGAAGACGGGCATACGCCATATAGATTACTACGGCGTTACAGGAGCTATGGCCTACTCTTATATTGAATTCAAACTTACAGGGATCTTTACGTGCACGCTAATGTGTTTACTTCTCATCCGAACGACTAGACAACTGTCCTTGTCAGGCTCTCCGTCCTCCACCACTGACAAGGGGAGACCACGCCGGACAATACCAGGTAATTTTCTCGGGCTACACCGGGGGCGAACCCGAAACCCCAAAGCTAGCGAGCCAGTGTCTTGTTATTCAGAAAAGGGGGGGTTGGATGGCTGAATGGTTAGCGTGCGCGCGCTGTATCATAAAGTCTGTCATTGAGTCGACTAGCGTGGTTTCGAATCCCCTGTAGTACGTTACGAGGAGTAGGGTCGCCTGTCCAACCTCGTGGGTTTTCTCCAGGTCCTCCGGTTAGTCCCGAAATTACCTAGTTTATGTCGAGTGTACGTTAAACCCCATTTCTCTTTATATCTCTCTCTATTCTGAAAAGATTGTTTTAGCGTACTCGGACGCCACTTTAGAAGTGTAATGACTCGCGCCTCTTACACGGGTCTAAGTACAGATTACCACTTAGATATGGGGGTATTTGTTTAAGACCGTTCACCGATTTAACACTATCTAGATTACACCGGAGTCAAGATCGTATGGACGTTCAATGTTGACAAATCGCCGTAGTTACAATCTTGATGATATTACTAATATCAACAACAAAATAAAAGCAATTAGGTTGATCTACATGTATTCATAATAACTGGTTACTCACTAAATTATAAAAATTCATGCTCTAACTTTCTTAAAGTAAGGCAATGTCACCAACTTACGTTAAACTTGAAAGTAAGGAATAGTCATGACGTTATAAACCTCTTGAAAGTAAGGAATTGTCATGAACTAACGACGTTATAAACCTGTTGAAAGTAAGGAATGGGTCACGAACATTAAACATCTTGAAAGATAGGAATAGTCATGAACTTACGTTATAAACGGCACCTCTTGAAAGTAAGGAATGGTCACGGACTTACGTTAAATATCTTGAAAGTAACGAATCGTCATGAACTTACGTTATAAACCCCTTGAAAGTAAAGAATAGGTCACGAACTTACGTTAAACTTCTTGAAAGTAAGGAATGATCATGGACTTATGTTATAAAATTTTTGAATTTAAGAAATGGTCTCGAACTTACGTAGAAAGTAAGGAATGGTTATGAACTTACGTTAAACTTCTTAAAAGTAAGGAATGATCATGAACTTACGTTATAAAACCGCTAATAATTAATATGAAAGTTAATTAAATATCTAAATGTTTTTGTTTTTTACCGATCAAAGCTTTAATGCCTCTTCAGCGAAGAGTCAATAGCGTTTTAGAGTGAAGTTGCCCACACAACAATCTAGGCAACTCAAGGTGAAGTGTTTATTTGCTTCGCACTATTCAGAGTTGGTGGCGTAGACAGTGGAGCGCCAAAACCATATTTCTAAAAGGGAAAGTCTGTTTGTTGAACTTATAAATGTAAATAATACGCATAACAACCAGATTTTAACAAGGAGTTCAATTTATTTAGTATTTTTGAGGAGTACCTAATGATGTATATAGCCAATTATTGAGTTATTATGCAGGTTATAAGGTGACAAATTCTTTAAAGGGGAAGACCAACGATTTTCAATAAGGTTTCCATAAATAATAAATATATATTTAGAAATAATCCCTCCTATAACATATGCAAAAAATAATTTGCAAGCGAGAAATTAATTTTTATTAATACCGGAAGTGACGTAGTTGGTTCGACACGCTCACTGGTCACTATAGTAAACATACAAGTTTGGAGCAAGTTTAGCGCTGTATTGTGTGATCGTTTCGCCGTTTGGCAGAAAATCTGATGAAAGGTAATCTTTATTGGGATATTAAGAACAAGAACTTACGGTGTTTTGAAGGTATAATATACAACGCCTTTGTGTAAATTAAGTTTCTAAACTGGACACTGTGACACAATTTAAGCAACATGGCTAATTGTTTACATCACGTGATAGCTGGCACGTGACAGATATTAACCGAACACAAATTGGCGACCTATTCGGCTAGCGACCTATTCGACCGATCCAGCTGGCAACCTGTTCGTTGGCAACCTATTCAGAATGAGAGCGCACCCCTTTAATATGATTGTGCCAACTTTTACTAATAATATTTCGAAAGCTTATTTAATCAGCTTTCGGAATATATTTAGTTGGATGTCCAGAATTTTGTAAGATAATGCGAAATTACATCTCTATTCTGAGCTAAAGGAATGGATAAATGATAATATATTCTACTTTCATTTGATAGACGTTACGTTGGATTCTATTGGTTGATAAAAATAGATGAGTTTGGGCGACTGTTGAATTTATTCTGAATAGGTTGCCAACGAACAGGTTGCCAGCTGGATCGGTCGAATAGGTCGCTAGCCGAATAGGTCGCCAATTTGTGTTCGGTTAATATAAGCAATAGGGGACAATCAGTTTTATTAGTTTGTTTGTTAACCATTTGGTTTAGGTACCGCTCCTCGAGTCTCTCTGAAGTCTGTGTGCATCCTACGATCACTCATTCTAGACCCCTTAATTATCTTCTCAAATTACTATGTCTACTTTAGAGATCGCGGGATATTCGGTTAATTATTGAATTTTTCTTTAGTACTTTCTCACAGGATCGTATTCAGTGGGTTCACAATGGTCACATATTGAAATTAAATAAAATAAAATAAAATGGGGTTTAACGTCCTACTCCGAATGGGCTAATGAAGACGGCATACGCCATACAGGGTGCTGTGAAGGAAATTTTCCCCGGTCACCTGCGCTACGGCCAACTCTTACATTGAAATCCAATTGCCTAGGGATCTTTTACGTGCACGCCAGTGTATACACGGGATCTCGGTTTTTCGTCCCATCCCGAACGATAAAACAACTGTCCTTGTTAGGCCCTCCGTCTTGCACCACTGACAAGAAAAAAACCACTCCGCAAAATCCCAATGAACTTTCTCGACCAAGACCGGGAGCGAACCCACGACCTCCAGGTTAGCGAGCCAGCGTCTCACCCACTTTGCCACCGTGACTCCTAATATGAAATGAAATGGGGTTTAATATCCTACTGTTCTGCTCCGACTGGGCTAATGAAGAAGGAGATACGCAATATTGTGTGATATGAGGGAAATTTTGCCCAGACACCAGCACTACCTCCTACTCTTATATCGAATTCCAACTGTCAAAGATATTTTATGCCCATGTAATATCTGGGCCCCGTTTCTCGAAAACTTAACTTAAGATAAAATCCTAATTTTAGTTGATACTTTAATTTTGATTGGCTAAGCACTAAAATCAATGTAATATTATCCAATCAAATTACTAAAATCTGGATAAAAGGTGTTTCAGTGAGTAAGGCATTGTCTAGTCGTTCGCAAGGTACGAAACACAGAGGTACCGTGTACGCGTTGGCATGGTGCACGCAAAACAAACACTGGCAGATGGAATTCGAATTTAGAGTAGGCCATAAAATGTCCCTCGTAGTACATTGCGTAGCGTATGTCCGTCTTCATTAGCCCGGTTGATGCAGAAAAGTGGAACGATAACCCTGTTTTATGTCCTCCCATTAATCATATACTGAAATCATTTTTTTTTTGTAATGCTTTATAAACACGGGAAACCATTCATTCCTGCGCGGGTTACCCACGAATCCAGTGCAAAAGTTGCCTTAAGCACCCCTTCCCCTTTCCCTCTTTTGTATGGCGATTTTTGTTGACTTTATCGTGTAGGTTGGTGGCGTTGAAATGTAGAGCCGACATTATCCTTGTCAAGGGTATTGTTCCGTTCTAGTACTACTCTACTAACCACTGGTTCTATTCACGGCCGATACACATAGGAAATAACCCACCCGTGATAATTGTGCTATTTTTATCAACCAATCACAATAGTCCATAAATAGAAAGCGAGTGGGTGAAGGGAAGTAACTCGCATTTTGAAAGGCCATCGTTTTGTGTGCATGTCACTTCTTTGATACTCATAATCGAACATACAAGGCCGCCTTCGGCTCGTCCAAATGTTCAACCATGGTTCATCTAGGTCTCGACCATGCGCACCCGAAGTTGAAATGGTAAGACTATAGTCGCGACCATGGTTAACCCACCTTTCGAGGTCGGTTGACGCTGGTAAAGTCATGTTGCAAATGGCGGCCCGCGGCAAAACAAGGTTGTGTTGGAATTGTTATTTGAAGATAGAACTAATACTACCAATGTTGCCCCAGAACCTGAGAGTTATTTAAAGGGACAATAACACTCTTGCTGGCTTGACAGCTCCAGAAAATAACAAATATCCTTATTCTAAGTACTAGATGTGTTAGTGTCCTACCTGTTGTGTAAATTATCCATTAAATCCTATTTTACTGGTCCAAAGGGTTCAAAAATATTTTTAAATCCAAGTCACATTTGAAAAGCTTTACGTCAGGCTTTCAAATCATTTAGTTGAATTTTTCCAATTTTTTAAATTAGGTGTGTTAAGATGAAATTTGTATCATCAATTAATTGGAATATTGTAAAATAGTACAATTTGTTGACCAGAATAAAGATTGGGACATATTATTCAGTTACAACAAGAGTGGTATTGAGCCTTTAAATTCAGATAACATGTTTAAGGAGTTTTCATATTATATAGAGTGGATAATCATGTTTTGACATTTATTTCGACCAAGGCTGATGTTGAACTGAAGTGAAAGTGACAGTATTAAAGAAAAAAAAATCTTCCATTTGTGAATTTCGTTTGGAAAAACAGTAATACAACCAAATGACTTTGTTCATTAAATACATCGTTTTGATATACATTGTAAATATAAATTATGTAACTGTAAATAAACTATGATTATTTGAATGGTTTGTTTATTTAATTGTCTGGCAATAACACGGTCACTAACTCAAATGTGAGTAGATTTCTTGAAATCGTCATTATCATATTCTACCTCTAGTACAGTGTTTTCAGGATAGTCAGAAACTTTTGGCAAAAGTTCCGGGAAATTGTCGTCAAGTAAAAAGTTTTCTATCAGTTCATTGAAGAGAACGGCGTCCATTTTGACGACTATCCTATACTCGAACTAGCTTCCGTTTATTTCTTGAAATCGTCATTATCATATTCTACCTCTAGTACAGTGTTTTCAGGATAGTCAGAAACTTTTGGCAAAAGTTCCAGGAAATTGTCGTCAAGTAAAAAGTTTTCTATCAGTTCATTGAAGAGAACCGCGTCCATTTTGACGACTATCCTATACTCGAACTAGCTTCCGATCGGGTGTAGTGAACTATACTTTGTCCTATAGTCATGACCATACAAGAGCACCCGAAGGTTGCCCTGGCTGCTGATGCTCAGACTGGTGTATGTAATCTGTTTTTTGATTGGTTCGTATAAACTACCTACGTGGCCAATGAAATCATCAAGGGCAAATGATTTGACTTCGTGGATACCCCACAAATGGTCCCATATACCCCACGAATGGGATACAGAGGATGAGCCGACAGTTGGATGTTTATTTGTATGCTACTTCCAGTTTGTATTTCACCATCTTCAATAGAAGACTTGATATCGCTTTAACTATGTACGTCTTATCAAGGCCTTCACGTAATACCCTGCATATATCGGCTCTAATTTCGATTGGGCACAAGCCCAGCTTGTGAGCCTATCAGATTCGTCGATCGTCGCGAATTCCACCAAGTCTCGGGCTTTCAAGCTAAAATGGCTACCTGTGATAATCGAGTTGAAAAGTTCAAGGTTCATTCAATGTCAAGGTTTCCGTGGAGGTCGCGATGTCACAAACTCTGTTTGGACGCTGCTGATCACGTGTCTGTAGATAATGTAGCTATAAATTCATGAATTGTGAAGTAAACAAGCAACGTCCAGATGTTGTAAAACTGGCTGTCGTTGCTTCAGGAACATGGCTGTATCTCAAGACTTTCGAGCAAGAGGTAGCTGCATGTTGTCCCATCTGTGGTAGACATTATTCAACCGCATGAAAAGTTTGGGAAATGTTAGAGACGAGAATTAATATTAGAGTCAATGGTATAGTTAGTCAATATCGACGTTCATCTCAATTAACCCACTAAACAGATATTGTCTGGTTAAGGGGAGATAACTCCTGGAGAACTGTAGGAAGTAGACTACACACAAGGACACGGGTCGCCAATAAATTCTTAATTTGGGTAACCAAAGTTTACCAACCAAACAAGTCCCTGTCTAAATATAGCCCAGTTTTCTCTTATTTTTCCTCCCTTTTAAGGCGTTTTTGTGGTGTTTTTTTTTTAGATCTGGAATTGTTGTGAAGGTTTTTAATTTTAAATATTTTGCCAGTTTGGGTGGAAAAAGTGGATATTTGTGCTGAAGAAAAAAAAATGGATAAAAAAAAGCTTCAAAGACGTCTATGACCATAGAAAGCTTCAATTTGACCACAGTTAATTTTCGAGCTGCATTCATCCGCTGCCAAAGCAAACAGTCAACAACGTTAGAAATATAAAAACGGCAGATGTGGGCAACCATTATCTATAAGTTCATCGGGATTTCCCGACGTGGTTTCCCTTGTCAGTGGCACAGGACGGAGGGCCTGACAAGGACAGCTGTCTAGTCCTTCGGATGAGACAAAAAACCGAGGTTCCGTGTATACATTGGAATGCACGTAAAAGATCCCCTGGCAGTTGGAATTCGATATAAGAGTAAGCGATAGTGCCGCTGCCCGGGCAACATTTCCCTCACAGCACTGTATGGCGTATGTCCGTCTTCATTAGCCCAGTCGGAGCAGAACAATAGGACGTTAAACCCCATTTCATTTCATTTCCTTACTATTATATTTGTAATATATTTATTAAATAAGGAGACGAATTACTATAAGGCTTTGGCTTGTTTTTGAATCCTTACCTTTTGACAGTGTATGTATACAAGATCTGTCTTATTTGAATAAAATATTGTTTAAATGATATGTAAATGATATGTAAATGTAGACCGTG